CTTCACTTATATGCCTTCCTTTGGGCACAGCCTAAGAGTTAAAATTATTTGACTATTATCTATGGATTATGCCTAGTACCCAATACAAACAAATTTTTCGACTATACACATTGACTCTGAAGACGGGCTGGAATAGATATTAGTTCATGTATACAGTTTAGATCTTTGATTGCAGCCTACTTCAGTAATTAGGACAGAACTTTGTCGTTTATCATAACTGCTGGTAAAAGCAGGATAGACAGAAACCTACCGTTTCAATACATTTTTATATAACCTCTTTCATTTACCCTCTTTGAACTGAGAAGAATAAGTTTGCATACATAAAAGACTTCCGCTGAAATTATATATCAGTTAATATGAATAGTAATACAAAGATTTTAGTATTTAGATTTCTAAATTTATCTAAGCTATGATCGAGAACGTAATTTACGTCAACTATAAATATTAATTGAGTATTTAAACAGGGATTGAGACACTTTTAGAGTCTTCTGTACAAAGCAAGTTATTAAGTAAAGGATTTGGGAAGGAAAAATAATTTATTTCGTCAAAATAGAGAGAAAAGCATTGAGCAGACCTATGAGAAGAAACATGGATAATAACAGAAGACTTAATATTTGATTATCATTCTCATAACTAAATTATCTGTTTTGTTTCAACTGTTCATAAGTTTTTTCCATAACCAAGGTAAGTAAATGATGTATTAAGAAAACTCTCCAACTTTTTCATTTACGCTCATTTCAATTATATACCGCAGTTTAAACAGTTTACTTAAACAACAATGTTATTTATTATTAAATTAGAACTTGTTAATTCATTACACAATCCAACATATTACATGCGTGACCAGTAAAAATCAAATTGAATAAAAGTTCCCATTAGCTAGAGAAGAATAATATTACCAATCATCTTTTATATACCTGTCCATAACTGCAGACCAAGCGACTTTTCACGAATATCATCTGACAGCGATGTGGATGCTCAAATGATCTAACAAGAATATCACACGCAGTTGAAATTTAAGCAATATTTAGTCCAGCTAACGTTTTTCTGGCAACTGTAGTGTCATCACAATTTGACAGTGGATGTCTCAGATAGATGGTGGTGACGCATTCTACTTACTTGCACTCTCTCAATCTAATCTGCATCAGCGCGAACCAAATCAATTTACTAACAAATATTTATCATATTATGACTTAGAGGTACCGTGGAGCCGTCTGTTGGCTGTCAATTAAAAGATGTACGAATAATTTCACATATAACATATTTATTGGTTTAATAATTATTTGTTTATACACATATTCTTTTTTTTAAACTCTATGTGTAAATAATGCTCTTTAATATATTAAACTCACATATATTTAAATCACTACAATTTATTTTAAATATTTATTTAAAATTTCTATTTCATATATTCATATGATTATTTAAATAAATTTAATTATTTAAAAAAAAAAACTAATTTATTTTATTTCAACAAATATTATTATTTATTAAATTTTGTTCAATTTTTTTAAATATTTTAAATATTAAATCTTTCTCTTTATTTTGTTCAAACTTCTTTAGTAAATTTTTAGTTTATATTAAATTTTTTATATAAATTTTATTTTTCTCTTCAGTTACTTTGTTTTATTTTTTCTTCTTGTATATTTTTATTATTTATTTCTTGTATATAAAATACAAACATAAATGCAACTATCTGCTTGCCTGCCTTATACATATATCCTGCATTCTACAGAAAGGACGAAAAGCAACGAAAATCGCCAATTACAAAGAAAGAAATGACAACTGAAATGCATTTCTCTGTAGTTGAAGCGTTAATCACAGTGCTTATCAGTAGCTGCAAGTCAAAAAATTTATTTTAAAAGAAAACTACAACAATTTTTAAGCAAAAACGAACTGCAACGAGAAGTTGAAGTTTTGGGAAGAAAACAAATTACAACGTGGAACATGAAACTCTGACAGCAATGACAACGACTGACAGTCTCAGCGCCATCTATTATCA